ACGACGATGATTCAGAGGAAGTCGGGGGGGACCCGACGAAGGTGTCGGAGGATCCTGGTGAAGGTGTTGGTGAGCCCGAAGGTTCTGGAAAAGGAGCTGGTGGATCCGCCCAGTAGGATTGTTTTTCTTCTTTTGTTGCTTTTACGTGTCTGTTTCTGTGTCGCATAGACTGTTTGGCCACCGTGTTTATTTTAGTTGAAACTTTGTTATGTCGGACGGGGATCGTCAAGTCGACACGTCCTAGCTTTTAGCATTTTTATTGTGTTTGCAAGTCTTTCCCCGGGGTTTATGATAATAAAATCTATCTTTTTAGTTTACGCTTCTCTTTTCTTGCTTTTCTTTATTTTTCCAAACATCCTGGTTTTCAAACAAAAGTTCGGAGGGGGAAATTCGAAAATGGCCCGACCTTTCTATCGTAACATAAAACGAAGTGCGTAAGGACAAGTTTGTTCGATCAACCGCTTTGAACGAGAATAGAATTCCGTTGACCGTAATCATTTGTTAATAAAAATCCAGCGAAAAGACCTTTTAGACTTGAAAGTGCTTACTTCGAATCCACGAGTTATTTTGAGTACAAAAGATTTTGACTCCAAGATTCTATATAAAAGATATTTGACTTCACAAAGGCTGTCCCGTTTACAAAACATTCCAGGAAAGATTATCATCGGGAAACTCGTCTTACTTGAAAAGGAAAATTTTCTGGCTAACCGACTCACATCAGTTTTGCAATTTCGCCCGGGGAAGCTTTTTTAGTGGATTCGACTTGCAACACGGTAGCTCTTTTGTGGAACGTCGGCGCCGAGACCGACTAGTGGCACGGTGGCCGGTTTTTGCAGAACGTCGGTGTGGAGACCGACTAGTGGCACGGAGGCCGGTTTTTGCAGAACGTCGGTGCGGGGACCGACTAGTGGCACGGAGGCCGGTTTTTGCAGAATGTCGGTGTGGAGACCGACTAGTGGCACGGAGGCCGGTTTTTGCAGAACGTCGGCGCAGGGACCGACTAGTGGCACGGAGGCCGGTTTTTGCAGAACGTCGGTGCGGGGACCGACTAGTGGCACGGAGGCCGGTTTTTGCAGAACG